GAGAGAGAGAGAGAGAGAGAGAGAGAGAGAGAGGGAGAGAAAAAAAAAAACCATTGTCTTATTATTGATACTGCGACGTCATTTAAGTCACCAACCTCTTTGCTCGTTCTTGGAGTTTATCTGTATTGTCAAGCGGCATGGATTCGCATAGTCATTAAAAGGGGAAAAAAATAATAAAGACCATTACCAACAAATCCTTGGAAGTTACCTCCCCGACTGCCCTTGCGAGAAGGTTGGCTACTGTGTGCCAATCAACTGGTCAAGCGATCGGTCTTTGTGTTCAAATTGCACACAGTAGTGAACTTTCCTTTGACGGTTTCCTTTTACACTCGGAATGACAATTCATGCCTTACGAAGTACTGCTCTGTCTTCTATTTATGGGGCTTGTTAACACTTTCGCTATGTGTGAGGCCGCGACTGTGCCGTGACCTTTTGCAATTGCAGCATAGCGCGCTAGCTGGTCCACCATGGACTGGCGAAATTGGTGAACAGTTCTTCTGTTCACCTCTGTTCTATTAACAACTTTGAGTATGTCTTTAGCTCTTACATCTGTTGGCGCAGTTTCTGCAAAAAATTGTATTATTCTGGCAGTGATGCAACATACATAAACACCACAGTCCGTGAAATAGTTCTGCTGCGGGCATTCCGCATGCAACAGTTTACATCCTAGTAGATCTCTACATGTCACCCATGACGTATCAACCTTTTACGGAGTCAACACCCTTGCGTTGGATGCCTTGTAGAGGTACTCGTGCCACATAGATGTTCGCAAGGCCTTCCATTCCTCTCGGTTCTTCCCTTTGAAGGAGTCAACAACGATGGCAATAGGAGGTTCATGACATTGTTGTCCTCATTGACTGCCAACAAGTCTCTCACATTCAACAATAGAAGCAAAACCCAATGTTTGTTATGGTTCACAGGTATTACAGTAGCTGTCGTGCGTCGCAATTCATTGGTTAGTCGATGCAACTTCTGTGGTCTGTTCTTGATCGCGTCTTCCCATCCGCGCTTTTCGTGAAATGCACTTTTTGATTACCAATGATCTGGGGCTGCCAGAAAGTTGTACACACATGGACTGTGAGGCTGTCCCGGGCCGGCGAGTGTTCTTCATACACAAACTGCAAAAAAATATCGATAATGTTGTCGTTAAACCATTCATTGTCGGCCAATCGTGCAACGTCGGATTTTGTTACGAGAATGACATGTCTCCTTGATTTCCACGTGAAGGGGAATAATTCGTCCTCATCATTAATGTATGTCTTCTCTTCTCTCCTTCTGGTCATGTCCCAACTTTCGTCTTTCCCTTAATGTCGGATGACTCTTCAATCATCGGCTGGGGAAACTTTACTTCACCCTCCGTCATCATATCGTACATTTCAGCATACCAAGGGTCCTTCAACATTTTCTTTCACCTCTTCATCGATCTCTCACTTGTTAGTGGCAACAACGGTTTACTTGCGACCTCTCTGTATGACTCTTCGTCGTTATTTTTTGTCCTGGGACTGGTCGCCGTTTTTGTACCCACATACGAACACTTCTTACCGTCACCACCCGTGTTGTTTTTTTGTGACTATGTCATGCTCACTCGGCTTCTCTTACCTACACCGTCTTACTCAGTGGCGAGTGTCGCTCCTTCCCGAACGACGCGCGAGGTCCCAAGTTTGTCTTCCTGTTCACACGTAACGGTCAAATTGGCATGACACACACGAATTGTTATGTTTTGGGGTACTTGCAATGGTTTTGTATAAAATACGAGAGAGAGAGAGAGAGAGAGAGAGAGAGAGAGAGTTGACCACTTCGTGCCAAAATTGAATCGATGTCCTTGTTCACCATGTAATTGCCACGCAGCAGTGAACTTTGGAGGGGATTTAGTCTCACATGTGGTTTTCACCAGTTCATAAGGTTTGCCACATTTAAGATGATTTCTCTCAACAATTGACAGAAAGAAAGAGACAAATATCTTTTTTTGTTTCCGTGTGCTTTACAAGAAAAACGCTTCTCTCTCTCTCTCTCTCTCTCTCTCTCTCTCTCTCTCTCTCTCTCATATAACACCATAACGAAACAACACGAGTTTCTCCCAAGACGACAGATAGAGAGATATGTTTTTTTTTTTTTGTACTGCTTTT